ATTCTCGAACCTTCAATTTCAGCTCCTTCTGAAACTCTTCTGACCGCTCATATTCTTGCTCGTATTTTCCCTGGTGGCATATTAATCAAAAGGATTTACTAATCTAAATGCACTGGATTAGAAAAGGAGGACAACAAAATAGCCCATAGGAAGGAAACATGATATTTATAACAACAATCAAATGACAAATTTGAAGGCAAGATGAAATACCTCATCAACTAATGACTTTAATTTAGAAGCTGTGTCTTTCTTCAGCTGCTTCCTCCTCTTTGCTCTAAGTTCTTCTGCACATTACATTTGATCAAATATAAGAAGCTTTCTCTTTTACCAAAGATTTTTTTTTTCTTCTTCAAAAGAATAAAAAAGTGAAAATTTTGAATTCCAAACACTGAATTGACAATGTACAAATATCTTCAGCAACAATCATTTAAATTACATAATTGATAAACTCTCTATTCATTCATCATGTTAACTGCATAGAACATAAAATAGTCAAGAATCCAATTCCTTGATAGTCAGATTAAACTAATAGGAGGAATCTAAACACTTGTTTATATCCACAGAAATTTGGCAAAAAATTAATACAAGAATTGGGAAAGGTATGATCTTAATCTCCAAACACTAACCTTTCGCAGCAGTAACTTGGCTAAGAATATAATCTCTCTCTTGTTGATCATGCAGTTGTTGCTGGGCTTTTGCTAATGCTGTCACAAGTCAACAACCCAGGGTTTGTATGCAATTTAATCATGGAATTTCAAATGAAAAAGAATAGAGTTTCCAGAACAATAAATAAAAATAACTAAAAAGGTTTTAAGAAATAAAGTTATCATTAGAATTCCTTCAATAAACATCCATTTTTTATGCTAATAAAAAGAATTAAACTACCAAAACCATATGGAGTGCTTCAAAAAATAATTTATGCCTTGAAGCATCACAAGAGTAAGAACTTTAAAAAATTCAAAGAACAAAAAGATTAACATGTCCAATTGTATATTTATCTATCTAGAAATTTTTTCTCACTGGATTTCAAAGATACAAAGCACTGGATGGGGTATAAAACATTAACCCACTTTACCTCCAAAAGCCTCCTTTGCCTGTGTATGCTTGCATTTATCTGGGTGAACCATCAAGGATAACTAGAATTTTTTAACGCAAAATACGTCAATAATGTCTGAATTTTTTGATAACGATGATTGAGGAGAAAATAAAAATCAAGAGAGAAGAAAATACCTTACGATACTGCTTTTTGATATCTTCTAGGGATGCATCAAATGATAGGTTTAGAAACTCGAATGGATTTAACTTGAAGCATGAAAGAATCCTGTTTTTTTTTTTTTTTATTGAATATTTCCAAATGGAACACTTACTTAGCACAGAATAACACAAAACTCATCAATTACATAGTACATACCAAAACAACCTAAAATAAATCACCAACCACAATTAAACAGAAAAGTTGAAGAGGAAATCATATTACGACTATATAAGTATCCAATTCACATCAACATAAAACTGAATGTTATTCAACAATCATAGAGAAAAATAAGTAACCCAATTCACAGCACAGGCTAGGAAACAGAAATACCCAGAAAATGAAAAGCTTTAAAGCTGGAGAATTACATCAAGAGCTTCAACAAAAGGGGAATAATAATTGAGAACTTCCCAAGAAATAACCATGCAAGATGAAGAATTTGTTACTCTGGGAAACCCTAATTGCGCATACCCAGTTAATCAAAAACCACTCAAACCAAACTAGCATGCACGATTATGGATTGAAGAGAAAAACAAATGATAATTCAAAGAGAGAGAGATAAACCTGATGACTTCATTATCCCTCTCGACCTCGCTGACTTCAGCAAAGAATTCTTTGAGAAGCAAATCCTCATCGGCACTGGTGTTCGTCTCTCCCATCGTGAAATTTTCTCCGTTTCCGGCCTCAAGCTTTCCCCTTTCGGCCGCTTCCCTCTATGTATCCTTAGCTTTCCGGCTCTCCCTCAATTTTGGGACAAAGCGTCACACACCGGTGGCTCTATTTTATCGACTCGGCAAGCTGAATCGTCCGAGACAAACCACAACTCAACTCAGAAG